CCTGAGCTACATGCTTAACAAGTCAAGCACTCTGTGTCATCCACACTTATTTTGCAATTACTTAATTTAATGATATAGTATGTAAACCAATGAAATTGACAAAGAAAAGATAGGATTTTTTTCTCTATACACTAGGTTGAATGCTGCTGAAAAACAGTACAAGTGAACAAAATAATGAATTATTATAACAGATGTGATAATTCAATAATAAAATCTTGGAAATAGAAACATCAAAACATAAAACCCTACACTCAGGTGCCACAGGTAACTTTAAGCTTTCGCTTCACCTTAAAGAAATGAAAACTGGAAAGACAAGGCAGACTGTGGACCCTCCCAAAAGAAGGGCCCTACATCAAAATACTGGTGAGTGAATTTATATGTAGGTTAAAACAAAGTGTTTGCAATATGTACATATCTTTTATTATATTATCCCCAAATTTATGTGACTTCTCAATTAACAGCCAACCACTGCATCTCCTAAACAGGCCTCTATTGTAGCCTTCTGCACCCAATTGATAAATTTTATTCTAATTCTACATACCTGGAGTGATACGATGCTGCTGTCTTGCTACAAAGTAAATGTACAAATTCTACCTGAAAAGATAAAAGAATTGGTACTTGGAAGGCTCCAAATACAACACAACATTCTATTTCATGCTGTCATGCTGTGAAGCAGACTTTCTCAGCAGATTACTGGCCCTGGAACAGGCCTGTCTGCCGTTACCCGTACTGCAAGGGCAGCACGGACACTGCCACTTATAAAGGACAGGAGAGCACCGTAAGAATTGTCAGCAGACTCCCATTTGCCCCATTTACACAAAAGGGGATTTGGGCTTCCAAGAGATCTTGAAAGATAAGAAAATTAAACAAAAATTGGAATCTTCAGAATATAAGTTAGTAGGGGAAATGTTTAAGTGAAAATAGAATTCGATGTGTAAAAAAATACACGACCAAGCAAGGTAAAGCATTTACTTCTGGCCCACAAACCGGCAGATCCACTGGTCCACATTAGTTCTGAATGTTAGGGACACACTGGATAAAAAGGCAAATGAAGACGTGGCCCAATACGCCTCCATCAATACACACAGCCATACCACAGCTACGGATGGATGCAAGGCGCCCCTGCACACACACCCACACCCACACCCACACCCAAAAATGGGGGAGAAATATAAGCCCGCTTGGATAGCAGATCATCATCCTTTCGATGCTGAGGGCACTACAGAGACGATGGAAAATATGTATCACAAAGAAGTTTTAAGGGACAGAGAAGGGAGAAAGGAGCTACATACCAGACACAATTTATTTGACAGAACTTTACAAAATGTAAATATTCCAAGGACTCACAGAAGAAGTCTGGGGCCTAGAACCAAGATAAAAATAAGAAGAAATCACTTGGCTTCTGAGGCTATAAATGTTGCTTATATAGACACATTCTGGGCTGAACCTGAGGTTAAAGATGTGGTCAGGATGCTGAGGGTCTCGACTGTATTAGTTGTTCAAGCCCCATAAAGAAAGTATCTTTGTTTTCTTCCCCCAATTTGTGCTGAGGATCAGAAAATAAGAAACATCTGTCTGTTAAAGCAACACGCTCCTAAAAGAGAAGTACCCTGTGAGTCATTCCTGACATACAGGAAGTGATGAGAATCACTCCAGCATCAGAACATCTCTGGGGCAAACTACACGGATTTTGGAAAAAAACGAAGAGTCTACAAAACTACTCAGCTGGCAACAGAGAAACTGGGTCACTCAAGACATTTCACAAAAAATGTTTACTCAATACCTTATATTTCAGAAGATCATGCTGGACTCAGTAACTATTTGCTAAAAGCATGAGCCTGGAGCGAGAACAGGTAATATAACGAAAGACGGAGCCCTCTAGCAGGCATTCAATAGACAAAGTCTTCCTTAACCAAATACCCAATTGCCCAGCCCACTCAGTTGCAAAAATCATCATAATAAAAAATATTTACTGATAAACCAACTTCTTATAAAATTAGTACTTCTCCAAACATCTCTGTGTTTTTTATTTTTTTAAAGATTTTATTTATTCATCTGAGACACAGAGATACAGAGAGAGAGAGAGAGGAGAGAGCCTGAGCAGGGAGAGAGGCAGAGGGAGAGGGAGAAGCAGGCTCCTTGCTGAACCAGGAGCCCGATGTGGGGCTCGATCCCACGACCCCGGGATCATGACCGGAGCCGAAGGCAGACGCTTAACCATCTGAGCCACCCAGGCGCCCCCATCTCTGTGTTTAATACCAGCAGCTAACTGCACCGTGGTAACCCTTTGGTCATTCTTTCCGTGAGTTTTGATGTAACGTATATTAACTTTGTAGGGTGACAGAAGGTAACCAGACTTGTTATGGTGATCATTTTGGAATGTATATAAATTTCAAATCACCACCTTACACCTGAAATCAATATATTATTGTATGTCAATTATACTCAATAAAAAAAAATTAGGAGTTCTCATAAATTTTCTAGGAAAAGGAAGCAAGTAAAGAGTTAAGTATAATCTCAAGGATTTTAGCTAAGGAGAAACAAACACTAAAAACAGTGGTGGCACTGACAAATTATGACAATGAAATGGAAGCTGGAGTAGATACTATATTACATTTCTTACACCAATTAGGGTTGTCAAGGATGAGGAAATAAAGAAAAAGGGACAGGAGTCTGGGAGCCAGGTTCCAGGTCTGGGGCAAAGAGCCAGGAGAGAGTGCAAGCAACTACAGTGTCAAAAGCAAACAGAACAGGCGCAAAGGTGGGTAAATGCAAGAGGAAAAGGTGAAAGCCACCTTTCTGGGGACCACTGGAAACCTTATTTTGAGGCCATGGGAACGTGACCTTCCCTCTGTTACAGAAGTGAAACCTTCCAGGAAGGGCCCAAAGAAGCAGCTTACCTTCGTAAGTCCCTACACCCATGAACTGCTCGGAGTAAGAGAACAGTTCGCATATGTCAACTCACAATCCTTCGGCCAGGCAAGAGCTAATATCAATCCCATTTTACATATGAAACAAAGGGCTCCAAATATAGCCAACTTTTTAAACAGCATGATACACTTACATGTTTAGTAAATATTTTTTCCAAAATTACAAAGATTAGCCACCTGTCAAAAACATTCTATCACAAGAAAATCTATTGTTCTTGTCGTAAGTTGTAACATGCATGCTTTTCTGTATTACCAAGGCGGCTTTAACCACGCAGCCCATCATTCAAACTGGCAGCTAAAAATTATGTGCCTTCAGAGACACCAAGTGTAGGTGACAATTGCGGCAGATAATCAGTGCAGGTAAAGGGCACCGTTTTCCCTTCTTTACGATTTCCAACTGCGGAGGAACATTTAGCCCCGCTCCTGATACTTCCCTAGGTGTGGCAGAAATTCCCACAGGAGTGAGGGTATAGGAATAACATACCTGGCTTTTCTCCACTCCTTCACTTCTTTTCTTTTTTAATTTTTTTTTTTTTTTACAGAGAGAGCATGCGCACGACCAGGGCGAGGGGCAGAGGGAGAAGAGGGAGAGAATCTCCCCCAGACGCGCCACTGAGTGTGGAGCCCAACCCGAGGCTCGATCTCACAACCCCGAATGAGATCATGACCTGAGCTGGAGTCAAGGGTTGGTCACTGAACCTACTGAGCCACCCAGGTGCCCCTCTACTCCTTCACTTCTAAGTCTCCAGGAGGAAGGGCATGGCTCAGGCCAGTGGCTAGCCTGGGGCATGCTTTCCCGGCTGAGCTCTTCCCTCTCTTTTTCAGATCTAGCTGGTTTGCAGAACCTAATAAATGCTCCTTCACGTCCGATGTTAGAGAGGAAGAACCTGCCTCTACGAGGAAGGTCTCCAGCTGTCTGGCTGCACCGGTGACAAGGACGGCATGTCACTTTAATTCGGAGGTGAAGTATTAACACGTCCACTTGGCTACAGATCTCCCGTGTTTTCTCAGTAGAAAAGTTGACACTCTGCTCTCCAGTTATGTCTCCTTTCTCAGCTGGTTACACAGTTAAGAGGAAAAGACAAGGATGTTCTTTACTGATCCCCTAAAGCCACAAGCCAGGATAAGAGGTAAAATAAAAATAAGCCAGACAGAGAAGAGCTCTTTCTTTTTCCTATCTGTCCTCATTATTTTATAAAGCATTTAATAAACATCCACACGTGAGTGATAAGATGGACCCGTCTCATAAAACAGCACTAATTCTCTCGTCACATCATCAACATGATCACACAGAATTCAGTATCAGTTAAAAAGCCAAAGCACTAAAAACCTAGTGATGGGAACTATACAAATGCAAAACAAAACAACCTAGTAAACAGTATTCGCCTCCAGGAACAAGATCAGATTTTGAAGCAACCTCGAGTTAGATTAGATGACCTTATATTTTAAAGGTTCTTCTGGACTTAAAATTCTGATTTCTAACTAAAATTCTACCTGCAGGATGCACCCATCACTTTAAAGCATGCTTTTTCTATCTTCTTGAGCAGTTCAAGTAAAGTGCAGCTTTACAAACAAGTCGATGCATAAACATGAACCTCGTATTCTTCATCTGTAAAAATGAGGATATCACCCTGTACTGCTCAGAGTTTCTGAAGGGATTGGATCGGGTGATATATGTGAAAAAGTATCAAAATTCTGGAAACACACATTTTTTGTGTTCCTTTTCCTGTGGCCCGCAGTCACCATCCTTTGCCACTAGATGGCAATGCTGCACGAGTCAGGAGGGCAGTCTGCATTGCCTTCACCAGCTAGAAGCGAAATGCGCAAAAAAATGTGTAAACAGGGGTTTTCCTACCATCTCATCAGCTGATGGATAAAACTTCAGACACCTGAAAGAAGAGGCTGTGATAATTTTACATTCTATAAGAAATGAAAGTACTAATAGCACCTTTACTTCTCATGTTTAAATCCTAACTCATTTTAATTAAGAAATGTGGGAAATCCCAGGAAAACAGCATCGTGTAAGGTAAGACAGTTGTTGATGGCTAATGAAAATGTTTGAACATTTACCTCTGACCCCAAACTGAGAGAAACAATCTCATCTTCAAAAGCAGAATGTGTGTCAATATGAGCAGGAATTCCTGGGATAGAAAATAAAATAACAGGTCACTTCATTTTTCCTTTCAGTAGACTTAAGATACATACAGCCTCACACTATACTGGGGAGAACACTGTCTGGTGTTCTCAGGAAGGTACTGTAATTTTAGTTAAAAGGAAACATCTAGGGTGAATGTGACTACATAAAATCAAACTAAATCTGAACTAAAAGTATCTTCACTTAGTGTTGAAGAGCCACTGGCAGTCCATTCTGAAACCAAGACGTGAGAGTCACTGCTTGCCTGAGGCATCTACCCAATCCCAGCCCAAGAGAACATGTGACAGATAAATACCAAAGTCATGTTTGCCCGTGAACACGGGATTCCCAAGTACATGCAGAACAAAAGCAAGAGCCAGGTGTGAAGACTAAGCATATCAATCATTCAGATATGGCTCCTTCCATCAACTTCTCAACTACGTTAACTGAGCATCTCCCAAGAAAAAGGATTTGCTACGTGGTAAGAGCATACAAAGCAGGGAAGACATATCCCTGTCCTCAGGGAGCATACAGACCAACAGAAAGACGGACAGGTAAATACGTAATTACAATACATTATGATAAAAGCAGGAAAAAACCCAAAACCCCACGATGTCTGCCATTGATAAAATCCTTAAGATCATTTCATGACTACAAATATCACATGAAGATGCTGCTAATAAGTGCAAAAAACTCAGGAGCCGAAAGATTTTTACTAACATATCATCCTAGAATTGTCTTCATATTCTCAGGGGAGAAAGAGGAGCAAGACCATCCAACCAAGCAGCCTTCTTCTGGTATCTGCCAATTATGTGGTTCTTCTACTACACATGCTTCCTATGTCTTTGAAACAATCTCCTCCCTCTCTAAATGAAATGTTGAGAAGCAAACAAAAAAAAAATCACAAATAGCAACTGTGCCAGCCTACTTATCTACACTTTGAGACAGGAGTTCCTCAAGGGATTAACATGTAGATCTGCAAGGGATTAAAGTCAACACAGGTAACAAACATAAGCAAATTATTGCGAAGAGTGAATTTAAGCTAAAAAAATCATATCTTTGATTTTAGGGAGTTAAAGAATCCACTCAGTTATGAAATATATGATTGCAATGTGGAAATAAGAAAATACTCACCATGCCCAGGTTCATACTGGTTAACAGTCAATTGGTCGGGTTTGTGTTTAATGAAACCTTCTTTCAACCACTTCTCCAGAATGCTATCCCAAATGTCAGGAAGACCTGATGTCAGTAATCATAAAGATAAAACATTAAAATATTTACTTTGCATGTTTTACTCAAGAATAAAAAAAAGCCTCTGTGAGAAAAATCACACAGCTTTTAGTTTAGCCGTCAAGGTCTAAATATAACAATAAACCCGTAAGACAAAACAATAAAAACAAAACCTTCAGAATCTTTTAAAGTTATTTTATTGATTTTAATCAAACAAAATATCCAAAAGAAAAATTTTGCTCACAATTCTGGCACTTTGTAAAACAGCAATAAAATTATAAAATTTACTCTTACATGCTGGAAATTAGCCTGACCACTCTTTCTTGTTATTTAAAATTATTCCACTTTTAAAAATTAAATTTAATTTACTTATTCTCTAAATCATTTCCTTTTTTTAAATTTTCTTTTTATTTATTTATTTATTTATTTATTTTTAAAAGATTTTATTTATTTGACAGAGAGAGAGAGACACACAGCGAGAGAGGGAACACAAGCAGGGGGAGTGGGAGAGGGAGAAGCAGGCTCCCCGCTGAGCAGGGAGCCCAATGCGGGGCTCGATCCCAGGACCCTGGGATCATGACCTGAGCCGAAGGCAGACGCTTAACGACTGAGCCACCCAGGCGCCCCTAAATTTTCTTTTTATTTAAAAAGCAATCTCCACACACAACGTGGGGCTCGAACTCATGACCCCAAGATCAAGAGCTGCTCATTCTTCCAACTGTGCCAGCCAGACACCCCTAAATTAGTTCCTTTTAAAAAACAGTTTTTGGGGCACCTGGCTGGCTTAGTTGGAGGAGCATGTGACTCTTGATCTCGGGATGTGAGTTTGAGCCCCACTGATTCCCATGTTAGGTGTAGAGATTTCTTAAAAAATTAAAATATTTAAAAAACAAAAACAAACCAGTTTTCAAAGTAGAACTAACTTACTTTCACTGGAATCAGAAATGTTATGAGGGAAAGTAAGCCCTGAGTAAGATTCAAGTCCATCAAGCAAATATAACTCCAACACAATCCTACCAAAGGTTTAATATCCAGATCATACAATAAAATCTTATTCATCAAATAGTCAACCCATTAGAAAAAAACTGGCAAAGGATATGAAGAGGAATTCACAGAAAGGTAAATTAAAAATGGCCAACCTCACTAGTAATCTGGAAATTATAAAGTTGAAAGTTTTATAATACCACATGTTGGTGTGGGTCGGGGAAGGAGGTACACGCTCGGTAAGGATATGTCAATACAGCTGAGTTGGGGACAGTTTTTCAGTATCTATTAACATTTTTAAATGAACATAACTGACACAACAATTCTACTACTTAGCAGTCTCCCTTGAGAAATTCTTGCTTACTGCATAAGAGATATACACAAAGACATGCAGAGCATCACTCCTTATAAAACTAGAAATAATCTAAATATCTACCAACAGGGAGCTAACGGAATAAGCCACTATTGAACACTGAATACAATGAAAATTCAGGCAAGATCTCCAAGACATTCAATAAAGGGAGAAGAACAAGTTGGATGCATACATGTAACATGTGAACACACAACATATAATACTCAGTATAATACTACATATTAACAACTACATACTTTTACAGTATCTCTACTGGGATGTAAACTCTTTGTTACAGCACATGGACTCACCTGTTAATAGTACTACCTCTGAGAAGAAGCACGGGAGTAAGGCTGGTGTTCAAGAGGAACTTTAGCCTTAGCTATATGTATCCAGTTTTTATAACAAAACTGCACTACGTATGTAATTTAAATGTTTTAAATTTAATCAGCTATTTCAACAGTTTACCTAGAAATGATAAATGAAACAGTATATACTATGACATACTTCCAATATATTAAATCTTTCTTTTCTGAGCCAGCATTTGTCATTTATTAGCAATTACTTACCCCCAGGTAATGGTTTGTCTTTATCTACATTGTTGTTCTCATAGTGGAATTCATAACCAAAATGCTTTACTCTCCTGTGCTTTAAGCACTTTTGACCTAAATGAAGAAAAGAAAGTAAACTATTTGAGAGAAAAATATCTGCATTCCTTTGTCTGTTTCAAAGTCAAAATTGTGAGTCAGGATTCCTTTAGTAATGGTAATTTTTGGTAACTGCTAAATTACTGTCTTTAATAAAAGTAACCATTCTACCTCATCTCTGCTGTTCTTTTCAGTCTAAAATGGTAACAAACCCTTGGAGAGTTTCATCCCATCAACCCAAAAAAGTCAAACATGGATGCTGCCACTCACAAGACCTTTTATATCTGGAAAGAGTCAGAGGAACTCTAATTTGCAAATATCTGCAGGAAGCTCTTACTGCATTTCGGCAGCAAGGTACTGAGCTGCTGATCCCGCACCGGAAATGTGCCTGGTGGGGGGCGGGGGGAAGGGGATCAAAGAAGATAATGTATGTAAAAGGGCTTATCAGTGCAGGCTCTACAAATGTTAGCTAATAAATATTAATTAGTTTGGAGCTTAAAACTGATAGCTATATAAATGTCATTTATTATTAATGCCCCTAAGAATTGTTGGCATGACTTGCCTAATATTAGATCTAGGCCACTCAGTAATTTTGAGGAAATATGAGAAATTTCAGTAAAGCAAAGGAGGAGGAGGAAAGGAGAAGCATTAGCATGGCATTTTGCAGAGACATTTAAATATCAAATTTGAGAAGTTTCACTTACCATTGTGATTGTCTATATCCTCTGTCCAGTTAACGCTTTCCAAAAGGATTTTCTCATCCTCAGAAGAAATAATTTCTTCTACTACCATGAGGCCTGGAGGTAAAGCCTGAAGCCCCAACTCTTTCCATTGTGCTGTGGGAAACCAAAACAAAACAGTCACATACAAAACTTAGAGTTCCTAAATACAAATAATTCTGTCCAGGGGCCATTTACCAGTTCATAGAAGTCCCAATCCTCATATTCAGAAATAAGAATGCTAAAGGCACATGACATAGGAAAATACAAAAATAAAAACCAAGATAAAGATTATGGTACACTGTATCCACCACAATTACCAACAGCAAATAAAACGGTATTTACTTAAATATTATTTGAACATGATTGAGCTACTTTTTAAATCTCACTAAGAAACAAGGTTTGTCATAATATCTACAGTTTGCCATTCTAGCCAGACCGTCTCTAAATATTGAATACAAAAATTTAAATGCTCATTTTTGCCCTTAGATTCTTGATACTAGCTAGGTATGGTCCAGTAACAGAAAAAGGTAAAACAACAAAAAACATATTCTAAAAAACTAAAAATATCATCCTATGAAGAATTATTTGGTATATATTAAATAATTTAAGTCCCTGTGCCCTTCAAAGTTTAAGATAGTGTAGCTGTGAAAGAAAAAGAAAGAATTTATGATTAAAGGGAATAATGCAATTCACATTTAGGGATCTCATTGTTCATGCTACAGACATGATTTCTAAAGCTTTTCTGCTGAAGAGTTTTCATCCTTGAATCACTTAACATAAAAATTCACAAAAACAATAATATAAACGTCTACTAGATTTTATTACTATTTCAGAAATACAAATAGTGAATCACCTGATAAATATTTATTAAGTGTTTACTACATGTCAGGCATTATATTACTTATTCAAATTATGTAAGGAAAGCTTTGAGGAAAATTCCTTAAAGACAGGTAATTTATACTACAAGTAATTCATACTTAGTTTTCTAAAAATTGTATTTTTTAAAAAAAGAATTAAAAACACCCCTTGTATTTCTTACTCAGTGGCTCCAGTGGCTCTCTGGTAGCAGTTATCAAAACCAGTATCAAAACATTTGTGACACAGTTTTGTTCTCTATTTGTTTCTACTAGGATTTATTTCCTAACAACAGCCTTGGAAATACACCTGGATCTAATGTGGGATTTCAAATAAAGAACACCCCAGAACTCACTTTGTGCAATATCTTACAGAGCATTCAACATACTGACTAGGGGACAACCCAAGGACAATACTTTCTGATTAAAACTTACTCCCAAACCATTCAGTTTTCAAAAGCTGATCATAAACACATATAGAGATAACATACTTTTTAAAATCTAAAGCTTATGTCAGATTTTAAATTAAATACATACAGATACTGAGAATTATAACTCCTAAAATATATCTTTAAAAAGTCTTTAAGAGTTTCCTCTGAGTCTTATTTTACAAAAACATAAATTCAGTCAGATTATCCTCACATACCCATTCCCGGGGTATCTGAACAAAACATTAAGTTGCCTAAGTTAGGTGGCAAATGAGTATAATGGGAGACCAGATGTCTACATCAAAGTTCATCTCAATACATCTTATTTCCATGGGACAGTGGTGAAAAGATGTAATCATCTCTGTAGCAGTTCTGTATAGGGGTCTATAAAGCTTTTATTTAAATTAATTTCCTTAAAATTTAATTAAAAAACCAGTTCCTCAATCACACAATCACGTTGGACAGTGCAGCTAGGAACATACAAACGTTGCCATCATCACAGAAAGTTCTGCTGGACACGGCCACCATAAAGCTTTAGGAATCCTCGGTGGCTAAAGGTGTTCCTCCATACGGCAAGCTTGGCACACGATCATTCGGATCACAATTGATTCCTAAGCGATTAATTGAAAGCTTCTGGGGAGACTATAAAATTGGTAATCTGAATCCCCAACATTAAATTTTGAAAAGCACAATTAGGTAGCAGGATTCTAAAGTAAGTAACACAGATAATAAATATATTGTTAGGGTGGTAGGCCCAGCTCCTTAAAGGCAGAGCTATGTCTAATCCACATCCCTTCAACGACTGGCCCCATGCCCGGTACAAACTAGGTGCGTAAAGAGTGTTTGTCAGACAAAAAGGGGCTGCTTAACTGAGGTCCTGTTTGGTTTCACAGTAACTCCAAAAGAAAAAAAAAAGAAAAGAAAGGAAAGGAAAAGAAAAGAAAAGAAAAGAAAAGAAACAAAACTCACACAAAACCAACGACCATTTTTTAAAAGATACCTGTATACTAATACCTTTTTCCACAAAATTCAAGTACAGAATGATCTTTTGTCCTAAATCATCCACTATTTCTTTTCCGTTGAGGGTGACATAGGCTTCCTTAGCTTCTTCTGCAGTTTTGTATCTCACAAATGAGTAGGGCTTACTAGGTGGCATTAGGAGAGCATCCACCAGGCCACACTTCTCTAACACTGGGACCAGCTGGTTCCTACTCACATTGTTACCCAATCCACCATTGGCAACAACCAGGCTCTTTAAAAAAACAAAAAAAGAAAAAAAAAACATGAGCAATTAGTATCAATCCATTTATTTTCAAATAAGATTTTAAAATAAGATTTTTTAAAATAAGATTATTTTTAAGTAAGATTTCCACAAAGATGTAATTAAGATGGGAAAAAAGGTTTTCTTATTGTGGTTATTTGGGTTTCTAATTTCATACATAGTATATAAATTAATTTATTAAATATTGTGGATTAAAAAGTATACCTATGATATGAATACTACTGATTTTTAAATAGACTTTGCAGTAAAATATTCCTTTCTTAATGGCTATACATACAAATTAAAATGTCACATTTATTACTGCTTACAAGTTTAACACAATGAAAGAGAAATAGGAGACAAGGAATAGGGGTTACATAATACTTCTGCCAGCCAATACCTACTTTGACCTACTTAATCCTCATTAACATAACCTTCACAACAAGCCTACAAAGTGGTAATATTAGTCCCACTTCATAGAGTACACTAAATAGCAGAAAAATTAAGTTACGGTAGTGATGGGGGAGTTGGGTTTCAAACCTATTTCTGTCAGTTTTCAGAATCCACACTTGACATAACCATGATACAATGTTACTAGTTTCTACTGAACACAAAACAGGAAAATTTTCCTCTGTGTCTGAGTAATTCAGTCATTTTGCAATTAAAACTTTTCTCCTTAGTTAAATTTCATGCTTATGCTTACTTCCTGTTATCTGCAGTCCTGCACTAAACTTTATTCAAGGGGTTTGTCGGGGGGCGGGGGGAGATGTTTCCTATTTTTATTCTGATGCTTATGGCCTAGCACCTCTTATAAAACATTCTACACAGTGTTAATATTTTTAATTTATAATCTATGACTTCTAAAAGCTTTGTAGCAGAAGAGAAGTAAACCGCTGATGGCTTACTCTTAACAGTTTTACCATTTACACCAGGCATTGACAAACTTTTTCTGAAAAGGGCCAGACAGTAAATATTTCAGGCTTCTCAGGCAAGTCTCTGTCACATACTTTATTTTCATTTCCAACAACCCTTTGAAAATGTAAAACTCATTCTTAGCTTACAAGCCAGATTTGACCTAGGGACAGTACTCCGCCGACCCCTGATTTATATACAAAGCTGGAGATTAGAATATAATGTATTAAGTTTCATATACACCAAATGGGAATATCTAGAAACTTGTTTTAATAGATTATTATAAAACTGGATGAGAAAAGTAAAGCTCCATGCTGTCACGGAAGACCCCATACTTTGTATGTTTGCAAATATACACATTCACATGATGAACAAATACAATAATACAATGATATAAAACATGGTATAAAATTTAGTCTAAGATGGCTTGTCTTGGACCTCATTCAACAGGGTTTATAAATTAAAGTACTAAAATAACTTGGTTATATGCAGCCAAAGTTACAAAAATATTTCTATATTCCCAAATCTAAGGAATTGCAAAGGTGATATAAATGTCAAGGGTCCAATACCCCATCTAGAGAATGAGGAGCATGGTGAGGTACAACCTGAGGAATACTAGTGGTCCTCAAGGATGCTAAGTGATCTGTAGGCAATTCTAAAGGCAAACCACACAAAAACAAGTGCAGAGGGGAGGAAAGGGAGGAATTTATTTTCAATTGCATGTGAGTTACACAATATAATTAAAAGCAATAACTGTCTTATCTATAATTGTTCAAGCAAGCAATTTTCCCAGTAATATGAAGTAGAGAATTCAGAATTTTTTTTAAAGTTGTCTTCAGTCCTGACAATTTGAGGACCACTGCTCTAGAAAAATCTCACAATGGCTATAAATTTGCACAAAGGCACGTATACTTATAACACATCACGAAAAGAACATTTGTTCTCTCCTGGATAGATAATATGCAATTAGAGGTTCTTCTAGAATTTTATTCCTTTCTTGTAAAAATATTGTGGAGAAAAAAACAATCAAGCCCAAATAAGAAGACAATTTAGAAGGCATGAAGGTGAGGTTAAAGCTTCCAGAAATCTAAAAAAACAGATCCACTAGCAACAGCTTCAGAGGCAGAAAAATTATAACCCATTTCTTTCTTTACGCTTGTCTTCACGACCCTAGAAGGAAAAGAAAGCAAGTTATACTTGGGAAGAGAGGAGCAGAGATCATGTCAGTTTAATCTTTTGAACGCCTCACAGCCTCGGCGGCTCTTGGCAGAAACAGTACCGCGTGTGCATCCACATTACTTCTAATCTATTACGTATACTAACCTCTTTATAGGAGTTTGGTTTAATTCTCTGAAGTCATTAATACTGTGTTGAATCTAAGTATGGGCCTATTACCTGCTAAACTTAAATCTCCCTCCACAGGGGCGCCCGGGTGGCTCTGTTGGCTGAGCGTCCGACTCTTGATTTCGGCTCAGGTCATGATCTCAGGCCCCGCATCGGGCTCTGTGCTGAGCATGGAGTTTGCTTAAGTCCAAGTCTTACTCACAGTCCAAGAAGTCTCACAGTCCCTCATACGTATAATTAACACATAATATATTATAATATAATATATATATGTTGAATTTTTGCCATTAGAAAATGAAAAGGTTTTGTAAATAAGGTCTAATAAATTAAAACTGTTTTATAGCACATAATCAAAATACCTTATAACAAAAATGAAGTTAGGAATAGAGGGGAAAGACTACATTAGGATATAAAAGAGGTTTAGGTTTAGTTTTCTGTTCAGCCACCCTATCAAAGGACATACCACCTGTCAGAGCCTTAGTTCTCTAACCCATCATGTAAGAATTCCTAAGGAATTAAATAATGAATGGAAATATGCTTCGTAAATTCTGTGAACATATACCCACCACTCCCTCCAGTTCAACCAACACGGTCAATGGAAATTCAAACTATGTCCCCAAAATAGAAAGTTAGCAGGTCCTGTCATGTGTATACTGAATAGAGACATAACACAAGACTGAACAATCACAGCCTTCTTCTCTGAGCAATTATTAACCAATATGACTACAACATGTTAACATGGCAACACGGCTACATTCAAACGGTAATAGTTTTAGGTTACCTGAGTGGCATAGGATACTGTCTCAATGCCTTCATGTCTCAGCAAAGTATGCCTGGCTTTAATCTGTTTCCTCAAGAACTTCTTCTCAGTTTTATTGAGTTTGTAACTACTTTGATGGTCGCTGTCCATGACAGTACTGGGGGGAAAAAAAGGTATAAAATGTCAACTTTAAGAACCCTAGTGGAAGTTATAACAATGCTATTCATATATTCTATAGTTTATACATATTTCTATGTGATCATTTTTTAAAATGCTTACTTTACTTTTCACCAACCAAGAGAAGTGAAAACAAACTGATGCCTGGACAACAAACGGATATTTAAGAAGGTAACAAAAAAGCAAGAACATCAAAAAAGCAAGAGCATCTCTGAGGGTTCTACAAAATGTTCCAATGCTCTATTAAGTGCACTACATTACCCATAGGTAATATAGCCCCTTACTCGTGAAGTCCTAGGTAAAATGTGCCACAGACAAATTTCACAAACATAAGGTTAGGAAAGAAAGAAAGAAGAAGAAGAAAGAAAACAAAAAATTCAGACTATATGGTATGATTCCATTTACATAAAGTTCAAAACCCAAAAGTAAGCCATATGTTGCTTAAAAATACACATATAGCAAAACGCAAAGAAAAGCAAATAATAAACACATAATCCAGGAGAGAAGTTATTTCTGGCGGGAGGGGAGGAATGTGACATAGAAGGGACGTACAAAAGCATCAAAGGTATTTCTTAAGCTATATGGTGATTTAGGTGTTTTTTTATTTTTTAAGCTGTACATATTATATAGATTTATATCCATAATTTTTTAAATACAGATATAAGAACCCCATAGAACTGTGTTTTCCTTCTACTAAAATATGTCAGTCAGCAAGTAGTTACTGAGCACTTTCCCACAAAGGCATTCACACTATCCAAATCAACACCCTGCATCATGCTTTATTACAGTGGCCCATTTATTTTAGTCACAGAATTTAACATAATTTGTAATGATTCGTTTGTAGCTTAATCGAGCAGGAATGCTAGACGTAGTAGGTGCTCAATAAAAATGTGTTGAAGGGATAAATGAGTGATAATGGGCAGATACACACGTGCCTATTTATGGTCTGAGCACTCTGCAGCCTACAACTGTAATACACAGTTCGTGCTTTCAACAAGTTTAGAAATTAGTTGAGGAACACAGACAAACACTAAACAATGAAAGAATAACATATCTTGATATAATTGTTAACTGTAGAGTCTTTCAATGTGACATGAATTAGAAAAAAAAAATGATCGTTGTTAACTGGAAAAATCGGGGAGAACTTCAAAACACAAGTCGACCTGAGCTGAGCACTGAAGGGCAAGGGGAATACGGAGTCATCTGGAAGGGAGGTACCCAGTGAGGCAATAAAGAGCAGAAGCTAAAAACAGAAACGGATGCGTCTGGCAAAGACAGTGAGAGGTAGGCATATTTTTTTTAGAGCAGAGACTGTTGGCTGATCCACCGATCCCACTCTTCACCCGCTTGAATGTCTTCAAAGTTAGCAAACAAAATAAATTTAGGAAGTTAAATAAAATCATACTCCAAAACAGCTCATAAACAGCCAAAACTCTAATTACTACTCTTTATGTCTAGAGAGAAAATGCTGACTCGACTGAAAGAGCAGCCAGGAGCTAACTTAACTAACCCACAGGGTGCGTGTGAGAGGAACTGAGGCCAGAGCAGCAGGCCGGCTGGACAGCCTCACAGGGAAGTCAGGGGCAGGAGGATCTGCAGTAAGCCGGCCTGGCAAGTAGCAACAACAGGCCGCTGCCCACACGCAGGGAGGCTGTAAGAGAAAAGGAAAACAGAGAGACGCGGGAGGACCAAAGAAAAGTTCTAGTACCTTCCGTAGGACTTGGTGACTACTGATACATGAGGGAAAGAGGAAACACAGATCACTTCCTAACAGGACAGAGCCCAAGTGACCGAGACCATCAATGGCATTCGGAAACTGGAGAGTCAGAAGGGTCTGAAAGAGAGACAATAACGAGGAAGGGAGGTAATGAGTAGGACTGAGGATGTAACAGCTCTGAGGCTCTGGTGAGATACACAGTTGTAATGTCTGGCTGGCAGGTAACAGCAGAAAGTGGCTAAAAGGAAAATTCAGGTTAGAAAGCTTTCCGTGTCCTCATTAGACAGGAAGAGGGTAGTTGATCAGAGATCTCTGACACCGCACTGATTATAACTATTTGTTCTAATGTTTGGCCCCTTCCATTGGACTTAAGCTCTTTTGACAAGGATTAAATCATAATTTTCACTGCTTCCCCGGTCTCCGTGAGTGCTATGAGACAGTTTAACACAGTGTTTAGGGGTCCAGGTTCTACATTCAAATCTCAGCTCTACCACTTACTAGCTGTACCATGCTGTGTGAGTTATTTATTTCTGTGCTTGGGTTCCCTCACGTGTAAAATTGGGCTAATAGTGCCTGCTCTTGGCACATAATTCCAACTAAACCCTGCACTAAAACACTAGACCAGACTTGACCATGGCTTCTAGCAGCATAAAGCAATGTCCCTAGGATGTCCCCAGCTTCCCCATTACAATGACTGCCTGAGAAAACTAAAAATGCCAGGAAATTTAACTATTTGTTCTAGCAACACCTACTGATGGGCCCCTTATCTCCCTTTCCTAGAGCATTTACTAAAAGGGGATCACATTTGTGAATATGTATCTCTTGCAACTCAGAAGTATCTCTCTCAGAGCACCTGGGTGGCTCAGTCGGTTGGGCATCCGACTCTTGATTGCAGCTCAGGTCATGATCTCGGGGTCACAGGACTGAGCCCCCCATCGGGCTTCATGCTGAGCAGAGTCGGCTTGAGATTCTCCTTCTGCCCCTCACCCCCACTCACGCACTTGGATTTTCTCTTTCTAAAATGAATAAGTAAATCTTAAAAAAAAAAAAAAAAAAAGGGAAGTATTTCTCTCAAAGACCTGAGAGTCATTGCTCTGAAATGTAATCATCAGGAAGGACAGGGCCTCTGTTTCCCAGTCTCTGTGGTAGGATAGAATCCTATCTTTAATAACTGCCAGCTAGCAAACACAGCTGGCTTCATTTCATTTGCAATGACCAACCCTTTGTGATTTTTCACTTCTCTAACTCTACAGAGCCCCTGCTCTACCCCCACCCCATTCTACCTTTAAAACACCCAAATCATCCCTCACAAATTGGAATGCAGCTCAGCTCTTTCCCCTACTGTCAGTAGTGACTAAACAAAATCTGTTTTCATCACATTAATGTCTGGCTGTGTTAATTTCTGACACTATCTCATAATCTGTTAAAAGGATTAAATATGTCTATTAATAAATCGTTGGTAACTTCCAGAAGAGCAGGATCGGGATGGTTTAAGAGGACAAAGAAAAGCTGAGGGCCCTCAAAGGAACTATCTTACTGCCATTCAGGACCATCACCTTTGGAATGGCATCTTTGCGGTGTGAAATGGAAAATAAGGGATAAAAACACGAAGAATTCTTATTTTAACATGTCACATGAGCAAAGACTGCAAAGTGGAAGAAATTAAGAAAAAGATGTTGAATACATCTTTTTTAAAAGCATGAAACTAAGAGCCTAGTACCAGCAGATGGAGCCTCATGATCACATTCTGTCATCCTCCCTATCTTCTTCCCTTTCTTGTTTTAATTTTAAAATCTTTTACTTGAGTTCAAACAATTAAGATTAGAAAATACTTTAAAAATTTAATAAAGTCGGAACTCTGAACTCAATCAGAAATATTCTTTTTTTTTATTATTTTGTTTATTTAAAGATTTATTTATCTGAGAGAGCGAGAATGAGAGAGAGAGGGGGGGGAGGGTCAGAGGGAGAAGCAGACTCCTCGCTGAGCAGGGAGCCCGATGCGGGACTCAATCCCGGGACTCCAGGATCATGACCTGAGCCGAAGGCAGTCACCTAACCAACTGAGCCACTCAGGCGCCCCTCAATCAGAAATATTCTTATTGAGCTAAAAACAATGCTATTAATTCAAGGGAGTGTGTTTTTTTGTTTTTTCCCTTCTTCCCTTTCAAAGACAAATCCAGATATAGCTCTGGAGGCTCATCTGTTCCCCATTCCAGAGACTTGGCTATGTGCTGGCCCAGCAGGTCTGAGTCGCCTCCACACAAGGAATAGGCTGATACCAGCCACTGAGGTCTGGAGGTGCCCTCACGTGAAAACTGGGCTCACAAGGCCACTTCCCCGGCCAATAAATCTTTACTATTGCACAAAGGTTTGGATGCTCCTTGCCATGCTATGGTAGTGTTATGGGATGTTACGGGGGTGAGGTCACTCATTAGTTACTAGATAGACTATTAGCCATACTGAGTCCAGTCTAATCAAAAACAGTCCAAGCACACTCTCCATGAGTTAACAAGAGTTTAGAGATTACACTGACTCTGCTTGTAAGTTTAACCCCAACATATCCTACTGGATATCGCCCTAAGTGCTAACAGTAGTGTGATCCTGCCCTCCCTGAACAACAGAGTGCCCATAATGAACCAACACAGTATGGAAAAATGTTCCTGTGCTTGTAGATAAATTTGAATTTAGTAACTATTCAAACTGCATTGCCTATTAAAAAAGAAACTTAAAATTTTAAATGATTAAAAAATTGACCCCATCACTTGTCATATCACCCTGTTTTAATTCTCTGAAGAACACCTACTGTATATTTTCTTATGTCCTCATTAATTTATTTTCTTTCTCCTCTAACTTACCAGAAAAATAAACTCTATGAAAGTAGAGATTTTGTCTGTATTATTCACCCTGGAGCACTCAGCACCTAGAACAGGATCTAGCAAGGAAAAGCCACCCAAGAAACGTTTACTGAGTAAGCCTATACTTGCTAAACTTAACCAACCTTGCCTTCTTATCTCCTAAACCACTTCTTCAGAATTCTGAGTTTGGTGGCGTTCTTCGACGTTTTCACTAATGCTTGGTGTGTGCCCCTCTCTCTGCCCTTTTCCGATTGTATTATAATTACCCGTTTGTGTGCTGGGCTCGCCCAGAGAACTGTCGTCGACTTGAGCTCGGAGACCTGAGTGCCTGGCATACAGTAGGTACTCAGTAGGTATCTGTGAAATAAAATCACCTGGAAGCACACCCTGACACTCCCAGGGGCCCCGGGGCCTCGGGGATTGCTCAAACGCGAGCACAGCCAGACTCAGCTGTGTGACCCAGCCGACCACCAGCAATGCCTTTTCTTCACTGCACTGCCGCGGGTCAGACAAGCCCGCGCAGCTGCCGACGAACCCTCCCCAGGCTGCGATCGCCCGTCCCCACCCCCAAAGGAAACAGAAGAGCGACACAGACAGCACGTGGGCATCCGCACGGAACACACACTTGCACCCCGAACCCCGACAGGGCCCGCTGCCCACGGACCAGCCCAGGGGCCCGCTCGGGTCCTCCCTGCCCTGGCTCCGGCCTCAGCCCCCCCCCCCCCGGGGGAGGCCGACCGGAGAACGCAGGGTTGCAGCCATCCCGCCCGCCAGGAAGGAGCGCCACAAATCTCCGCCACGGCTCAGGCTGCACTCTCGCTACGCCGGCGCCCTCCCCTTCGCCAGCCTCACCAGTTTGTCCCCGAAAGCTGCGGCGGGCTCCCGCACAGCACTCTACCTGGGCGCAGCCATATTGGAGGAAACCGCACTACATTTCCCGTGAGTCTGCGGGGCGCCGGGGGCGCTCCCACAATCCCCCTCGCCGCCCTGAGGCGCTAGTCTTCTTGCGCCGCCGAAGAGGCCGACGCAAGCGCCCTGCGCTGCGGGGAAGACTTGGTTGCCTTACTTGCGGGAATAGTAAGGGCTCGGAGTGCGTCTGACTTCTGGTGGCTCCCCACATGGTCACTGCCAAGCCCGCTGTGTCCCTCGGTCGCACAACGATGCCTCCCCTCCTTGGGCTTGGTGCAGCTTTCCCCCCGCATCTTCTTAGGGGAATGGCAGAGGGCGCTGGGGTCTGAAAGGTGGCCTCGCGCGGGCGCCGGGGAGGAGGGGAGGGGAGCACGCGTGGACGCGCCAGGGGAGTGGGGAGGACCACCCAGCAGAACGATGTGCGCAAGGAGCAGGGCAGGAAGGGTGGGCCGCCCCAGGTCGCAGGGCGCTCGCCCTTCTCTCCGGAGCCGAGAGGGCCCCTGGAGGAGATGGTGTTCGGCGACCAGAGCTGCTGGTGCAAGGCGGGAGGAGAGAAAGAAGACCAACAGGCCGCTGCGGGGCTTAAAAATAAGGTAACAAACTATTCCGGAGGACCCAGCAGGAGCAGACAAAAAAAAGATTTGGTAACAGACCAGAAGACAAGGGAGGTGATGATGATTAGCCATTGTTCCCGCTCCCGCGTCACGCGTGGGACGTGAATGTACCGTCACCATTCCGCCTGCATTGTCCGGTGAGCCGTGCGCGCACCGGGCGGGAAAGGGAGTGAGGAGGACCACGCTGCGTGGTGCCGATCGGTGCAGGGCCCCCACGCGCGCGCCATCACCGTGGACCTGCGGTAAAAGCAGGGGCTGGCCGGCCGGGGAAAATGGCACTTTAATGGAGGACAGGTTAGAAGGAGGAAAGAACAGACGTTGGGGGGCAGATAGGCAGCCCTTGCAGCAGTCCAGGGAAGAGACGGTGAGGCTGAGGCCGAACTGCAACAGTGGAGAGCCCAGTGCGAGCTGGGGAGGACAGACCAAGCGCCCAGCGCCGCCTCGGAAGAGAGGCTAAGGGAAGCCTGCTCGGTCTCCCCATTGTGCTACTTCTGCACAGCTGGATGTGCTCAAAAACGCACTCCACTAGGGCTTTCTGTGATGATGGAGATGTGCTGGTCGTCCAGTATGGTAGCCACTGACCATATGAGGCTTTTGAGCGTTTCAGATGTGGCGAGTACAACTAAGGAACTGAATTTTGAATTTTTAAATTTTTTATTTGGGATTTAACGAATTTAAATTTAAATAGCTGCATGTGGCTAGTGGCTACCAAATTGGACAACAATGTAAAATATCTCCTCTTGGGCAAAATCAGTTATTTCATCTTCTTATCCAAGGTACTGAAGCTTTTAAAACTTTTGAATTTCTTAGCTTCCATGAAACTACCTTAGTTCTTGAGGCGCCTGGGTGGCTCAGTCGGTTAAGCGTCTGCCTTCGGCTCAGGTCATGATTCCCACGGTCCTGGGATCGAGCCCCGCATCGGGCTCCCTGCTCGGCGGGAAGCCTGCTTCTCCCTCTCCCACTCCCCCTGCTTGTGTTCCCTCTCTCGCTGTCTCTGTCAAATAAATTTTAAAAATCTTGAAAGAAAGAGAGAAACTACCTTAGTTCTTAGTTCTCTTTACACATTGTGATCACTTGTTTTCAGAGTCTTTCACTAGCTTGCCTTCATCTTTCCACAATTAAATAGAAGCGGTCCTTCAGGTTTTGTTTGATCCTCTTCTTATTCTGTAGTCTTTCCCCAGCTGCTGCCCCAGAGTTTGAGGGATAAGTGAATCATTCCTTAATCTTTTATCTTCACCCCTGACTTCCCTTTAGGAGGCAGTTTGGTTTAGTGAAAACAATATGGGCATTGGGGTATGACCTGACACAGAAACTGCAGAATAGCATTCACTTTTGGGGATTGATGTGATAATTAATTACTATAAAGTACCTATTAAATGGTTGTTCGTTCCTTTTCTACCTCTCTGATCTTGTGTTACAGGCACAAATTTCCAGCCACCCACTCTCCATCCTTGCCTCCATATCCTTAGAAAAAGGTGGATACATATAAAATTTTGCATGCAACTGTTTTGTACAGGCCCTTATCTTTTGCTTGGAATTGCATGGATCGTTTCTCCCAGAGAAGATGACTCCCTGAAGTGATTTTCAGCTATATTAAGATTCTGTTTTATTCATTATGTAACTCCAGTGTCCTCTATAGTCTTGTAATAACAGAAATCTATTAAATGTTGAGCTGAAAAGAAACTTAACTTGAAGATAGAATTCATCTTCCCCTGTGCCAAAAGCTTTACATGGTGATCTATAATTATTTCTCGAAGGTATTAAATGCTGACCTAATGACTCTTTCCTCAGTAAAATCTATCTCAGCTTCTTGGTAGGTGCAGTCCTCTGTATGACAGGTGCAGGGGTTAGCAAGATTTTTCTATAAAGGACCAGAAAATAAATATTTTCAGTTTAGTAGCCACACATGGTCTCTGGTCACATATTCTTTTTTTGTTCTGGTTTTGTTTTGTTTTGTGTTTAAACAACCCTTTGAGAATCTAAAAACCTTCCTTAGTTCCCCTGGCTTATGCCAGCAGGATTTGGCTCATGGGCTATAGTTTTCTGACCCCTGGACCCCCTTCCTGGACTCTGTAACCCTGAGCACAGTCTCAAGGTGAAGCTAAGATTGGTGCCACGACTGAAAACATTTATTATGAATTACTATATAAATTAATTTAATCAGATTACTCAATACAACATTTTAAGCATGGAAAAGCAGAGGTCTGTCCCACAGTAGAGCTCCAGAAATCAAGACTAGGAGCAACATATCGTTCAGAATTGCTTTTAGTTGCCAGTGACAGAAAACTAGACAGACTGCTTTAAAAAAAAATTAATTTTCCTCAACTGACAAGTCATCCAGACAAAAGCAATCACTGGTATTGGTTCTACTGTTCAAAAATGTTTCAAGAACCCAGGTGCTTCCTACTGTCCCACTCCACCACCCTTTGTATGTTGACTTTTTATCCTCATTCTTAATGTCTCCTTGTTAAAAGGTGGCTGCTGCAGGTGCTCTCAGATTATCTTGTCCCCATACTAGTGTCTCTAGCTGGAAAAAAGGAGCAGGGTCTCTGTCTTTTCATCCAGGAAACGAAGTTCCCCATGGACTCCTTGTTTCTTCGATCATACATGGGTTGCATACTATGGGAGGCAGAATAATGGATCCCCAAAGATATCCACACTCTAATCCTTGGAACCTGTGAATATGCAGGAATAATGAAGTTTGCAAACCTCAAAATAGAGTATCTAGGGGCCCAGTATAACCGTACAATTCCTTAAGAATAGAACATCCAACCCTCTGGTTCTCTTTCCCATCGGATCTGAACGCTAGTCTTGGTGGTTGTTAAAGGAGGAAAAGGAACAATGAAGCTGGCCTTCCAGTGTTTATAGTCTGGTATACAGCTTGTGGGCTGTTTTAAACAAAGTTTGAATCAAAAACAAAACAGAACAGAACATCTACTCTGTCCAGAGCAAGAGAGATCGAGCAGAAGAAATCAAAAAGATTGCAAGTGTTAAGGATTCAACATACTGTTGCTGGCTCAGAGAGGTAATAAGAGTCTGTGTGCAGGGTCTGGAGAGAGGCTTCTAGAAGCTAGAAGCAGCCCCAGCTGATAGCCAGCAAGGAAGTGGGGACCTCAGTCCTACAACCACAAGGAACTGGATTCTGCCCACAATCTGTATAATCTTGGAAGCAGATCCTTCCCACAGTATCAGGGCTCAGCCAGCTGACAGCCATTCTGTCCTTATAAAACTCAGAGCCAAAAAAAAAAAAAACAAGTGAGCCAACACAAACTTAGGGCCTACAAAACTGTGAAATAGTAACTCTGTGCTAATTTGTTACAGCAGCAATAGAAAACTATTACACATGCTTACCCCTGACCAATCACTAGCTAAAGGGAGTGGGATTGCGATGGCTGCTTTAGGCTAGTCATGCTTAATTCCATGCGGCTGAGATGAGGCCCATCCTCCCTGTGATCAAGTGTCCTTGATAGAATACACTCTACCTGGAGAAAAATAAAATGAGGGTTCTATTAGCAAGAAAAGCAGGAAAACAACTGTTGGGTAGACAAGTAATAACAGCATATTCCATAAGAGGGTTAAACACTTCATTCAGCTGGATTTATCTCAAGACCAAAGAGAAAGGGATGCTGGAAGGATAGGCACTATCATAAACTAATAAAGCATTGAAAGGTAGAATTTTAATAGCATTACATTTCCACTTCAAGATTCCTCAGTCGGAAAATATCAAAGATGTTCCCAACAGTCCCCGAGGCTTATTATATATTTACTATGGTTCCAAATCGTGATACCATTGCACTGTGGTTTCAGATTTAATTCCTATACTTAGGGGGTTTCTAATTTCCCTTCCTCCCAACCCAGAACATTTGTTTTTGGCTACCTTCTGGCTTTTTCCTCACCTGTCCCCAGTGGCAAGGGTACCACTTTTGTTTTTTGGTTTTTTTTCCGACTTATGGTTTAAAAAAAAACAACTTCATTTCTCAGTCTTTCCACTTATTCTTCTGCTACTTATTTTATCCCTCCTAGGTAAATGACAAGTTTGTAGCAAATGACAAGTTGCCTTCCAAACTTTTGTCTCTGCTGCTTCCCGGATTGCTGTCTTCTTGAAACTCCAGCAAGAATGCATTATGTAAAACCATTTGATGTTCACGGTGACATTTCAGAACTGAATGCATTATTCATGCTTTGGTGATAAAAATTCAATGAAAAGTTTGCAGTTTTGTAAGTCATATGGTGAAAGACTTCCCATGCAGTAATTAGAGGCAAAAAGAGAAAAAGAAAAGGGGCCAGTCTTCAATGTGTTATATAAAACATAAAACACTGCTTGGAGGATTGGTGGGTTTTTGGTCAGGTGCAAAACATAAGATTTTACCTGTAAAACATTAATGTTT